ATTCTCCAACCATGTTGATAGAATTTCGTACTGGCCCTTTTGAGGTATCGTAGGAGGCAATGGGTGTTGTGAAGTGTCTATTCATGCAAGCTATGCTCGTCTAATTCATGTGAAAATCGTCCCTGTTGGGAACCGATCCACTATCCAGTCCATCGCTCTCTTCAACCGAAGTGCTGAATGACTACTTCAACTTGACCATGACGTATGGGATCTCAACGTCCTCCTCCTTCTGATCTTCAGCTGTTATCTCGAAGATAACGTTCTTCTGGTGCTCCGGTACCGGCTTCCTGCTCACGTGCTCCACGAGCTTGCTCATACTGCCTTTTGTTAGTAACGCGGTGTTTACGAAGGGGAATCAATGAAACTTACGTAAGCGGCATCCTGTCCTTCAACTTGGATGGAGGATAGAATGATGCGTAAAGCAAACTGACACCAGAGCTTATCATCTGAATTGACAGGCCCTTCTTCTCGAAATGCGCCACGAAGTCCTTCAGGGGGATATCATCCACCTCGAAACGGTCCCATAGCTTATCGATCGTAACTTCGCCATCGTGCCCTTGGTATGTACCCTTCGGGCTAGCAATCGGCTCACTGAAACCAAAGAATGGCAGCGCCAAGTTGATGAAGCCGTTCTTGTATTGCTCAATGTCCGTCTTGCCGTCGATGATCTTGTACAGCTCAAGGTTGACGAGACCGGTGACCAAAGCCGTGGTGGTGGCAATGGCCGGGATGATCTTACCAGCAATAAACTTGGTCTTGTGTCGGTCAGCCTGCTCGATCTTGTAGTTCTCGGCACGAAGGTTGCTGGCAGCAGTGATGAAGTCGATGTGGTGGTTGGAGTCATCATCCTTCTCAAACTCGACAGGCTCAAGCTTGAACCCAGCAAGAGACTTCGGTGCCGGCAATTGGCTGATAATACTGTCCAGCGACTCGTTGTCGTCGCCACCAGCCTGGTTGGCATTTGGATCTGGCTCCTTCTCGTCGGCCTGGATCTTCACTGTAGGGTCGGGCTGGAAGTCAGGAACGATCATATCGTTGAGAACTTCGACGTAGTGCTCCTTGGACGCATTTGGCTTGATGCCGTAGTTGAATGCGTGTAGGGTGGCAGCAGCTTCCACGTAGGTGAAGTGTGTTGGGTTTGAAGAGTCAAACTTCGATGGGTCCGGCGCGCGCTTGGGTCCCGACCAGAATGGCTGACCGGAGCCTGTCTTGGAGTCCTTGGGGAAGTTGTAGAGCAATTGCGCAATTGCGTGGTTGTAGTTTTTCTCGAACTGATGACGGGCCCAGATGATGCAGTCGTCAAACGACAACGGCTTCTCTGTGACCAAGAATTCCCGCAGGGTCTCCAGAGTCTGCTTCTCGTTACCAGACTGCTTCAGCGATGCGCCAAGGTAATCTGGCTGTGTCAGGTAGAGGTTGACAATCTCCGGACCCTTGACGAACAGCGAATCGAACGACTCCCGCGCCCAGGCAATCGTGTGCTCGATTCGGTTGGGGAAACTCCTTAGTGTGCACATAGGGAACGACTTCTCAGGTGGATCTTGAGATGAAGAGTAAGACTCTGTGATGAACGGCAGGACAACCTGGGTGTTGCCCTTGGTACCGAGAGTACCGCTGTCGAGCAGAGGCTTGCGGAAGAATACACATCGTCGGTCGACGTATGTACGCGCCTCTACATTGTCCAGTGCATTCGTCACACCGTCCAGAGAATTCCAGAACTCTTCGTTGAAGATGTGCTCTGTCTCCGGGCCGACCTTGTCTTGCAGTGTCACGATCTTTCCACTGAGGTCAGGGTTCATGATCTGAACTGCCTTGGCGGCAGCATCGCTCTTTAGTTTGCCAACATCCGCTGGTCGGAACAAAAATTGTCGGTTCAAATTGCTCTTCTCGATTTGGTCGTTATCAGTAACAGTGATCTTGCCATCAGGCCCAGTGCCAAGGCCCATCATCGCCCAGTTCTTCAACATCTCGCAGCCGATGGCACCCGCACCAACGAGGAACTGCTTGACGTTGCTGAGCTTCTTCTGGTATTCCTGTCCCAATACAGCGATTTGACCGTCGTAGCGCGAGCCAATCGGAGCACACTGCTCTTCCGAACGGGTCGTGGAGGTAGGGATCGACTCTAGCGAATCGAAGTAGAGGAACTGAACAATGGGATGGAACTTTCCAGACACTGACTTCAAGACTTCCTGAGCAGCCATGCCACCAAAGAAGGCAGCGACGGGACTGAGGTCACCACGAGCCTGGTAACTGAGCTCCTTGATGAGCTTCTCATCCAGCTCGACCTTCTCCTCGCCCTCATTTGCGATCTCTTGTGCAATCTTGAAGAGCTCATCCGCATCGGCTTCGTGGTGAGGACGTGGGAACTCGCCCTTGTGGAGGTTCGCAAACTTGTGGATGGCCTGGATACCAACATGGAGCTGTTGCGGTCGGTCGAACTTTGCGAAGTCGGAGATGAGAAGCTCGGGCTTCTTGAGCTGCTTGCTGAAGGGCTCGAAGTCGATGATCTTGGGCATCTTGACCTGGATGAACTGTCCTCCCTTCTTGTACTCTCCGAGGCCAGATACGTCGCCGATGGAGAAGGTATAAGGCCCTTTGACCTCAATCTTGCGAGGTGCACAGCCGTTGAGGCCCTCCATACCCTCAACTTCTGAGAATGTGACCCAGTCGCCATCCTCCAGGCCGTGTCTTGTCTCGTCTAGTGCCGAAACAATACCCTCCTCATCAATGCCGGCAATGATGCCGTTGTTGACATTCTCGCCGGTCGGGTCACCGATGGTGAAGTTCTTTCCGAAATCGGTGAAGATAGTACCGAACAGTCCGTATGTGTCGGTAATGACTACGTAAATGCCGTTGTCGTGGCAGTAGTCTGCGATCTTGATTTGATCTTCGAGGCGAGTGTCGGTAAGGACAATGACCTGGAACTGCTTCAACTGCGACAAGTCTGATGTCAAATCTCCTCCGCTGAATTCCTGCACAGGTGTGTATGGGTTGAGTTCGGAGACGCGCGGTACGGTGACGGAGGCGCGTGGCTTGCCCACGTCGGCGGGAGTGAGGAAGAACTGCGACGACAGGTCGGCGAGAGCGGCGGGCTTGGGATCGTAGAGTGTCAGCGACTTGACACCAGCTAGGGCGATGTTCTTCGCAATCTCGACACCGAGACCTCGCAGACCAGCAACGAGGACGTTGGAAGAGCCCATGCGCTTCATAGCCTCATGGCCCAGGACATACAGCTGCCTGCTGTAGAGGGACTCATCGATGTCGCCGTTGTTACCGGACGCTTCCTTGAGCTGTTCGACGGCAGTGGCAGGGCTGTCGACCTGCATGTTTTCCTTGGATACGTTAGATTGGGGACGCAGAAGTGTAAGTTGGTGAAAGGTGTAGAGTGGCGGAGACGCTGGAGACGCCGAGTACATGGTTGCAAATGCGGACGCGCAACCGAACAAAGCGCAATTTAGTAATCAATGGGGCGCACTTACCGCCATGGCTTTCTCTTTCTTGCTGGGACGAGCGTCCTCGTCGACGTGTTTCCGCTTCCCCAGTTTGCCGACGGTCGTGAAGGCTGGACGCTGTCAAATGTGGCGGTCGCGGGCGCCTGGCTCGAGTGTCGCGGGGTACCCAGGTGTAGACTGCTGTTTACGGATGTGAAGAAGGACAAACGAGATCAACAGGTTTGTCGCTGGAGTGGGTTGAGTGTGGAGGTGTAAATAGAAGGAAGGCAAGGGTGGAAGGCGCAGCAAGAAGGAGGTTATTACGTGAGTACTTGTCACGGCGAAGGTGCTGGAGCTCCACCTAGCGCCAGCCCACTTTAGCCTTGGCGCAATCGTCACTTCCGCATGGGCCTCGAATCCACCCCTTCACCCCATACCAGTATAACAGCAATCACCTTGCAGTCTACGTTGATGTGAAAACGAAAGCTCGCAGACTTCTGAGGATGATGTAGACTCTTGGGCGATTAATTTCTTTGGTCTGCTGAAGGCAGATTTCACCCCCTCAACGCTGGGCCTGCTTTAGATTTGCACGCGACTGCGCACTTCCATTCACAAGATATGATCTCCCCGATTCCGACTGTCCGTGAAACGCACCTCACAAGGCCAACATCAAATCTGATTTGACGTCTCCGAACCTTGCGTCGGTCAGCTCCGCCACATCACTCCAAAGAAGGCGCAACAATACCTACGCACTGGCATCTGTCGCATTCTAGATGGTATATCTTCTTCGATCGCTTCCTTGCTCTACTTCTTCATCAGTCTATACAATTCCGAAAAAGCTCATCATAATACTGACGGTATGCTTGTCGTAACAGCCGTTGTTGCCAAAGAGATATCAGGCCAACAGCAAGTTGAAGCAGCCCAAACACGATGGCTGCGATGGTGTCCGCAGACTGGTTGTTCAAAGACATGAGTGTGTAAGGTCAGCAGAAAGCCTCCTCAGGAATGATGAAGCTTGCGAGTATCTGCCGATGGGAGCGCTTGAGGCTCACCTCCCATCTTTATGTATACTTTGACATTGTACTTTTGAGTGCTCAGTTTTCGGAAATCCTGCGAATTCACAGCGGTCAGGACCTCGCAGCGTGTCAGTCCCGGAACATCTGGCTGTTTTGTACTTTTGTATGTGCCATAGCTCGGTCGTCGAACATACAGAATTGTACTTTTGCTGACGTGCGTTTGATTGGCTCAGTGTTCCACCGGTCATGCAGAGAGGCGTTTTCTATGCGCATGCAGGTTACCAGGGTGGCTCGTAAGAATTGTACTTTTGTCGCAGCCAATAGCATCCAACTGCAGCTCAGCCTGGTGTCACGGCTTGGCTCACATATAAGCCACCGTCAGAGCCCGCTATTTACTCATGGGTCTATAGGGCGACGCCTCCTCTTTCCTCTTTACATATGTGATATATATAAGGGCCCTTTCATTCGAGCATTACCTCTGGGCGATACACGTCCCTTTCGTTGCCTCTCGAAGACCTACACTACTATGGATCTCGGGTGGCACCCGATGCCAATGTCTGAAGAGGATGCCACACCATCACAACCTCCTCCTACTCCTCAGCACCCGAATCATATCGCAGATACACGTCCGCGGAAGAAGAAAGCGCGGACTCTCCGCGAGACCGACTGGGAGCCATACAAAGACAGGATCATACAGCTTCATCATGTCGAAAAGCGACCGCTACCGGAAGTCAGGATCTTGATCGAACAAGAGTTGGGTTTCATCGCTGAGTATGTTGCGCAGCCTGTCCTTCCATCAGTGGGTTAATTTTTAGGCTAATCGTTTGCTCAGGATACGCCAATATAGGTCTCGTCTTACACAATGGAAGCTTGACAAGAACATCAAGCCAGAGGAAATGAGAGCAATAGTCAGACATCGCCAAAGGCGAGAACTCGTTGAGACAGACAAGAGCAGTCTCATGTTCCGCGTCAGAGGTCAAGAAGTCGAACCTCAAAAGATCGAAAGGTGGATGAAGAGACACAACGCTATAGAAAGCATGACATCTGCTTTCAGCCCCGTCCCACGTGAGTTGCCTTGGACATGCGATGATAAAGAATGAATCCTGACAGCATGTAGCGACCCCTTCAGCTGTCAGCTACGCTACCATGTCAGAAATCGGGTCACCAGCCGTTCATCCAATGCCCTCTCATGCAGGTCTGCACGATGTTAACACTGGTAGCGGCAGCGCTACACCTCGACTGGCAAACCTTCATTCAAGCAGCTTGTCGGCATTTGACGTGAGACGCGTTGATAATGACCACACTTTCGCAAAATGGCAGTATCGATACATTCAGCGCGACGCAGGCTTGGAAATACCCTATTCAATATCACAGTCCGCACTGCCTACAGAAACTGCAAGACGAACGGCGATATACTTGAGCATATACATAGTGAAAATCCTTGTTGGAGCATGGATTGGCAGTCGCTTTCCAAAGACAGCGGAGAAGCGTGTTATTGTGCGCTTCTATATCCGCGAAGTGCCGCTCATCAAATCTGTTAACGTCAGAGTTTATGTTCAGATTCCCCTGAAGGTCTCATCTTGGTCTTGCAACATGGGATTTGACTTCGTCACGAACATCTCGGGCCAACCAACATGGCAAAAATGTTACGTTGCTTGGACGTCTGGCATGTTCGAACCAGTTCACCTTCCAAAGTATCTAATCAGATACGAAATAGTGAAGGTCCCCTGGGACGACTTGCAATCGTTTACTTGGCCCGGCAACAATATGGACTGATGGAGGGAAGAATGCGAAGAGCCTAAGTCACTTGGTGTTTGCAATGCACGATGAGCATACCTACACGCGTACAAAAGTTGGGAATAACGATGGAAACCCAATTTCATATTCACAGTTCTCCTCAATTCCATTTCGATGTCCATGTCCATTGCATTCATATACATCTTCCCCAGCATCCCCATTCCATATCTCATATCCACGCATACGCATATCCTCATTAATCGCATACGTCGGAAAAGTAAAAGTCGAAAACCAAAAAGGACATAACACATTCGTCGCTTCGCAGTCGTGAGCGAGCTCGCTTCAAACGCCCAAGTAACGCCAGTAGGGCTGACTCTGTCGAAGCCCATGTAACCACTGAGATGAAAACCACCCATGCCATAAGGTACCAGCACAAGGCTAGACACAAGAACTAGAAAGCAAAAAAGACTTTGTACAGTTTTGGAAAGAGATCGGTCGGTGGATAGCCGACTATCGTCTCGATGAGTGGCGTGTTCGGCGTGTGTGGCGATCTGATGAGCTTGCGCTGCCTGGGTGGTTGTTAGCATCTGTGTTCCTCAATGCGAAGCAGATCGGGTTACTTACTTGAACTTGTGTAGTCGCTGTACATGTATGATGTTCCACTGACAGTGGTGCTCTTATCGTCGACCTTGTTGTCGTGTCTCCTCTTGAGACCCAACGCGAGCGCGAGACCACCTAGTCCAGCAGCGAGACCCAGACCCTTCTTGCCGGTGCTGTGCTTCTCAGAGCCGGCGCGCGAAGGACGAGCAGGGCGGCCGCCTCCGTACCAGGTGCGTCCGCCAGCAGCGCCGCCGCTGTGGTGGTGCTCTTCGATGTAGGTCTCCTCGTGGGTGTGCTTGCGCTTCTTGCCGAAGCCGAAGATGGCGAGGAGGGTGTCGAAGAGGGCGCGGGCGCAGCAGAAGAGGCAGAGAAGGAGGAGCAGCAATATACCAAGGATAACACCGATGACTATACCGGCGATGGCACCGCCACTGAGTCCGCCGTTGCTCTCTTCGGTTGCGACGAGGCCGCCGCCCGCTGCGCCAGTGGGAATGGGTGTTTGGAAGGGCTGGGTCGCGGTCGGTGTGCCGGTGTAGGTAACGACTACGACGCCTGAGCTAGTTGGACGAAGAGGGGCACCGGGTGTGATACCTCCAGAGCTGCCGCCAGCGATCATCGCACACTGGCCGGCCTTCAGACAGTACATGCCAGAGTCGCAGCAGATTCCGCCGCAGGGGTTTTGCGAGTCGCTGCATGTGGCTGTGGCAGTCGCTGGTATGTAGGTGCTACGCGTCTCGGTCTTGGTGACAAGGCCGACAGTCTCGACGTAGGTAGTAGTGTAGTATTCATAGTAGCCGCCTGCCGCTTCGGTGTTGGCACCGCCGCCGCTGGTGTCGCATTGCGCCTGGTTGGCACTGTCGGTATAGCATTTTGCGCCTGAAGGACAGCACAACCAGCCGCCGAAACCGCAGGGGTTGGCGCAGTCTTGCTTCTTGATCAGCTGGGAGCTGTTGTGCAGCGAGGCGAACTCGTCAAAGTGGACGGGGTAGGGCTTTGCGAGAGCCGAGGGCAGGTAGGCGAAGGCGATCAGGCCGAGCACGGCGGGAGGAGCGTTGAGAAGCCACATGGTAAAGCGAGCGACTGAGCCTCTCCAAACGCAGCAGAGCAGCGAGGTTTGCTGCGAACGGAATAGACAGGACCGTTTGCAGGAATTGGGGGGAAACGACAGAAAGAGCGCGCTGCAATTCGTAGATATCGTCCAGTCGGCGTGGGAGCGGTGAATGGGTGGGTATCGCTGCTGCGGGGTCGATCCGTTGGCTAGCGCGTCTTTCGTGTCTGCTGGCGTGCGTGACTGGTGCCGGCGCGGTACAGGATGCGAACCACGGAAAAGAGTCAGCGATGATTGAACTTGGGTATGGAAGTGAGAGAAGGGTGGTAGGATGTGTGTAATCATGCAGGAGGAGGTGCGCAAGTAAAAAGGGTACACTTAGAATAATCGTGTGGTTGGAAGCCGCGGGAGAGGCTGGGGTGGTTGGGGACCTTCCAACTCCAACTTCAACAACACCGGGGTTATGCGCTTGCGGGATTTTTGAAACTTGGCTAGACGCGGTAGTGGGCACAGAAGTCGTGTCGTTTTCGTGATGTCAATGACTTCGCTATTCGTGAGGATGTGTGCTGTCTCACGATGATTCTACGGGGTGTCGTACACAGTGATGTTCAGCGCTCGCTCCGCCTCCGGTTCACCCAGCAACGTCCGTCGCGCCATCACCTGGCCATCCTCCTCGTCTCCGCGCACGTTCACCACCACCACTCGTCATTGCAATTTCCCCCAGAAGGATATGCCCGTGTTGGCCCAAGCTAGATGCTTGGCCTTGGGCGGTAGTTCCTCAATCATTCTGCCTCGCGCACTTTGTTGGTTCTGCACATGCAGCCTGCGACGTCGTGCAGTGGTTTGCCTTAGTTGCGAATAGCTTCTTGGTATTTCCATCGTCTTTCCGCAACATCCGGAGAACTATCAACTTGTCGTCTTGGGAGTAGATTCTAGACTCGAGAGTTCCGGCCGGCTATAAATATCATCCGGTACCTGCAGGGCGCGTGTGACGAGTGGGCCGCCTGCTACGTTGTCAAAATGGGGCCTTGCGTGCCGCACATGCCAATCACTACACCGTAAGTCAACAGTGGTACGAGCTGTGACATTCAACACTACCGAGGATGGAAGGTCACTTTTGACAGACATTGGCAACTGGCACTTTCTTTGCCGACAGCTCTGCCACGTCTACCAGAAGATCTTCTCAGCCCTCCCTGTCCAGCTCATACTCTTGGACCATCTTCTCCGCTGCCTTTTGCGCAATCAAATAGGCCGTAGCCTGCGAGTGGTTGTTCGTCACAACCGGCGCAACACTCATATCAACAACTCGTAACCCCTCCACTCCCCGAACTCTGAAGTTCTTGTCCACGACTGCCTCTTCATCACCTTCCTTACCCATCTTGCACGTCCCGCACGCATGCCACACGGTACCCGCATTCTCGCTCGCAAACCGATCTACATCCGCGTCTCCCATGGACTCAGGGCCTAGAACCGTGCGCACAATATGCGGCGCGATGGTAGGGTTACCTGTCAGCTTCGTCCATGTGCTGCGGATAGCTTCGCGGAAGATGCGGACGTCGTAGGGGTGCGTGAGGTAGTTCAACGTGATGATTGGCTTGTCGGATGCATTCTTGGACCGCAGTTTGATAGAGCCGCTGGATTGCGGGTTCATGAGAAAAGCGATGAAAGTCATGTACGTGTTTCCTGCATCCAACTGTGTGCCTGGCGGCCACAGTATCGAGTTGTTGAGGAACTCGTACGCTGGGACTTGGTCTCTGGACAAGAATTCTTGGAGATCTGGCGGAAGCGCAGAGTACTCTTTATACGATTGTAAATCTGGCAGTTTGAGGAAGCCGCCCCAGAGCGACGAGTGCTGTAGAGCGAAAGCACCAGTTTGGTCTTTGGTCCAGGACTCTTGGGCTGCGGCGATGAGGTCGGGATTGCTATCAAAAGCGTATTTGTCGTTGATTGTGCCTGAGACTTCTACCGTCATGAAAGTAAGGACGTGGTCTTTCAGGTGCTTGCCTACGCCGGGTAAGTCGACTTTGACATCGATGCCGAGAGCTTCCAGATCGGATTTTGGTCCGATGCCATTGAGAAGTAAGAGCTTAGGTGAGTCGATCGAGCCACCACAGATAATGACTTCGTTGTTTGCCGTCGCTGGGGTCCTGTCAGTGCTCAATGCGTCTCCCGTCGATCCAGATACTGCACCTACCTTGCCGCCCATCTTCGAGAACGACTCCGGTGACCTTCTTCCCCTCCCATACGAACTTCTCCGCTTTCGCATCTGTCCATATCTCAAGGTTGCTCGGCGGGTGCATAAGATGTGCGATCGCACTAGTACTTCTCCCGTCTTTACTATAGCTATGTGGAAAGACCATTATGCCCACCGGATTTCCCGAATTGGCATCGAGAACAATCTTCTCCCCAGCTGCAGCCAGCGCCTCCATCTGCGGCACCACGCTCTTCTCGAGCACAGGCGGAAGACCGACCTTCAACTGGCCTTTCGTGCCATGAGCGTTCGTGCTCGGTTCAGCGATATGCTTGTAATCTTTTGAGCCGGAAAAGTCATAGTTCTCGATGGCTTCGAAAGATCTCTTGACAGATTCCCATTTCCAGCTCTCGTCGTCTACCAGGTCACTCCAGCGATTATAGTCCTCACGACTTCCGTACAGATACACGGCGAAATTCAAAATGGAACTTCCACCTAGGCCTTTTCCCCGCGTGTACGGTATTGTTCTACCGTTCAGAGCGGGTTCGGGCTCGGAGACATAGCCGTGGTCTAGATCAGGTCGGAGCGCTTGCGCATAGTACCGATGGTAGGGTGCGTGAAGAAAATCACCAGAGGGGCTGCTCCCGGCCTCAAGAAGGAGAACAGATGGTTTGCGCGCGGAGTGGGATAGCCGATGCGCAAGAAGGCAACCTGAAGTACCGCCTGGCAATATATGTGTTAGCATCAATTGAGACGCGTGAAGTGAGATAGAGCTTACCTCCTACGATAATGAAGTCGTACGCTGCTACCATGATCCGAGCTTTGCAGTATCCGATAGGGTCAACTATTGAGTGTGTCGTGACTTCCTAGGTCGGGCGATCACCCTACTTTATATGTATCCTCGCTCCATGCAGTCGCACTGCATCTGAAGTAACGTGCAGCATCAGTAGGACATGCAGGCCGCAGCACACCTCGCTCTGCGTCGGAGAAGCCCATTGCCATACTCTGTACTTGATTGGTCCCGAGGATTTGGAAGAAAGGCAGGTGCGCGAGCATCATACGGATGATCTAACTTGGGTTGGGTATTCTGCTCGCATGTAAGGCAACTCGCCAAGCTGGATTTCAGCTTGCGACTGCGCGATTGCGGGGTATCATGGATGTAAGCAGCAGTGGGTACAACAGTTCATGCAGATCATAGACATAGCTTGAGGCTAGCTGAACAGGTACTAGACTGATGTCCTAAGACCTGCCTCACCACTCTTTGGGTCGGTTCCAAAGGTTGACAGATTTCACAAAATCTGACGAGTATACAACGGGCATAGGTAATGGCTAAAAACTACCCTAACTCCGCTATCTGAAATCATCTCTGGGGATGACATCGGTCATTCTCATTCGACAACCGAGTGACCTCGTTGTGTGTAATCATTGTTGACATCAAACTTGCGGGAATGCTATTCCTCAGCCAGTCTGGCTTTCTAAAAACCCTTTTTCCGTCAAACGCAACCTGTGGCTCTCCAATCTTGGCCGAGGATGGTAAGCACTGCTCGGCATCGCGTTGGTTGGCTGAGCGCCCTTCGTTGTCGGCGCTTGATCCTCGCCCGGCTGTAGCGAGACTTCGATGATGGAGAGGCGAGAATCTTGCGAAACTGCGTGCAACTAGCGCGCGTAAGTCGGGGAGCGAAGCTGCAACAATGGCAAACGAAATTTGGATCGCGATCAGGATATTGACGGCGCTACCAAAGTATCTCATATCGCCTTCTCGTCGTTTGATGAAAGGAATTTGAAGTAATGCGACGATGCAAACGATGAAACCTAAGCCGAAGACGAGAACAAGGCCAAGCCGTTGCCGGATCCTGAGTTTGGAAAGCTGCCATACGTATGGGATCGGGAGCGCGAAGATCATGCTATCCACAATGCTGTCTCCTATCGCTGCGGAGTAACTGTATAGGGCAGAACTGAAGCACTGGGATCCAGTGAAATCGGACCAGTTCCTGGTCCATAGCTTGCTGATATCTTCGCACAAGACTATGAGAACCGTCAGGACTTCGATAAAGTGCGTAAGAGCCAGGACGATGAGGACGTAGCAGCACTTTCGGAGCGATGCCATCCCCGGTGGGAAGATTCGGAGGTAGTAGGCCAGGACCGAAAAACGCGTAAACGTAACGGCAAAGATGTACGCTACGCGGCGTTCGAAGATGTGCTGTTGCATGTGAGTATGGTGTGCCACAAGTACGATGGAAGTCTGACTTGGTAGAAGGGAACTTCCGACATATGATCGGGACTGAAAAAGTGGTCAGTACGGCCCGCAAAGATCTATGCAGCATGCGCACTCACCCCTTACGATCGTAACCCCAGTTGTCATCTGCACTCATACAAGATATGACGGTACGTGCGAGAGCTGCGGCCTGATTACGATTAGCTTGAGTAAATTACAAGATTCCCATAGTAGCAGATTGAATTCGGGCTTCACATACCGTGCCCAAGATGATCAAGACATCATCCGGCGCCATTTTCTTCTTGATCGCTAGCCTTGAGTATACTCTCAGGATAACGGTGCTCAAAGCTAGTACCATCAACGGCACCTCCACCGCCAATGCTGTTCTGATGCCTTTGGTCGTATCTCCATCATTCATTTGGACTATTGGCTGTGCAATTGTGCCGTGTAACCTCTGATCGTCCGGTATTGTGTACATGGCTGGATACATGCAAATCGGTTCCACGGCGAGATAAGGATGACACCAGCTGGTTTGGTCCAGAACATGAAAGCAAAGTAACGTATCATCGGCAGAAGAGATCAAAATAGAAAATAGAGGAAAGGTGTCCGTGGCGGGGCCACTTGATGCTGATGTTGGTGTTCGTACGATGGTCGCCAAGCCTTGACTTCTTCTCCAGCTGACGTGCCCATTGAAGCTTACTGAGCACTTTGCGTAAGCCGCCCTACCAATGAGGAGTCGGTTTCAGCTGTGGGCGCATACGACTGCTAGGCTGTGATGCTGACACACCTCAAATTATCAAATGATTGACGTTGCGAAGCTGCAGGGCATATCAAGTGCAAATTGGCGGTGCCAAGTGGGCGGAGCGGGATACGAGACGAGTGAAATTGAGTGATGACAGCGTAAAAGCCGACACGTTGTTTGCTAAATAGCGGTAAAGAGGCCGATCGGCGGCAACTGCGCTCAATTTACCTCAAAAGACATTGTCAATCTTCTCCGTCTGATCGAAATCGTACGCATTGCCAAATGGCCTATTCAGATAATTTTTGAGCAGTTGCTCACTCGAAACGTACGTGGCCGCGGTCTGCAGACCAGTCTTCTCGGGCGACAAGCGTTCAGCAAGCTCTTCCGCCAGTTCGACTTCCATCGAATTTCGATACCATGGCGCGAAGTGTACTGTGAAAAGAAGTCAGTTTAAAGAACCTCAGACCAGCAAGGAACTTACTCATCGCGAGCATCACTCTCGGATCTTCGCTCAGGTTGGGCTTCCCTCCGTGCCAGAGTCTCAGATCGCGAACGATCATGCTACCTTTCTTCACGACCGGCTGAGTGGGTGGCCGAACCTCGCGACGAGCATCGAGCAAATGCTGCTTGATCCTTCCGCTGGCACGATCGCCATGTTCGCCTTCTTGATCGGCAATAGTGGTACCTTGGTGTGTATCGAGCCAGATCTCTGTGGAGCCGTTCTCTGGCGTCATGGTCACGAGAGGAACGTTTACCACGAGGGCGAAGGGGATTGAGGGGTGATCAAAATCTGCATCATTGTGGATCGGCTGCGAGGCTGGTGGCGATGACGCAGTTGGTGGTAGTGCGGTGTTGCCAGAAATGAAGCGCAATGAAGGCCTAGGACCAAGCGTGGTTGAAGTGACTTGCGTCACGATGGGATCTAATCCAAGGTTAGTATGTGTTTCGAGCGTGGCAGGATTTGCTACAATAGACACGTACTGGCGTAGATTTCGTCACTGAACCACTCCTGGGTCATGGGCGGATCTTGTTGAATGTTTCCTTTGTTATAGTTGAAGGGGCTGTCCTTTCTTCCCTGCAATTCGAGTGCATCCTGGACCATCTTCTTGTTCAACCGATCCAAGACTGCATGGTCAATCATGTCTTCCAACACCACTAGGCCATCGCGAGAGAGCGCTCTGGTAGCGATCTCGAGGTTGCGTTGATTGAGCTCTCCAGCTTTGACTTCAGACGCGGAAGGCACAATGGAAATAGGTGTTGACGAAAGGCGCGGAGACATGGTGGGACGGTGGATGACGCAATGGTCAAGACTGGAATCGTACAAGGAGATGTGTACAACGTGATCGCTTCAAGTGCCACGGTACTAAGCTGAACAGTCTCAGACGTTGTGAGCTTTATATGCTATAACGATCTGGAACATGTAGCGGAACAGACGAAAGCGGTATGGGGAGGCGCTAAACCCAGTACAGGACTGCAGCCGTCTGTGGAGAACCTGGTCACAGGCTGCATGTCGTCGTGAGACGCATGGTGCGGGGAGCTTACTCTATGCTTCGAGTACACCAAGAGAGAGACAAGACGGCACCTCCACTTACGCGGGGAGTAGTGACGGCGTGTGTTGATGGAGTAGACGATCCGACGTTCTTGGTTTGAAGCTGGAAACGTTTTCCATCAACGCGAGGTCACGCGCCGTCGGGGTGTCGGCGGCATTTCGATAGTGTCGTCGGTCAGGGATGGGTGGTCAGCGGAGGCACAGCACAACGTCTTCGCCTTGCATCGCTGTGCTCCTGCGTGTTTGCGAATTCAATGTGGAGGTCTCGAAGGTGGTTTGTATCGAGTGTCGCACTGCGTCAAGACAACTCCTTCATGTGCGCGCAATTACGTACAGTGCGTGCCGTCCACCGTCTAGGCAGACATTGGGAGCGCATGGAACTATGCGAACAAAGAAGCCCAGGACAGAAGAGGATTTAGGCAGGCACCGTGGCTCAGAGTCGCGAATCACAGCACTGGCAGGCGGACGGTTGACCGGGATGGAGTGAGGAGAGATGCGGAAAGCGGCATGACGCGAACCAAGGCAAGAAGCCAGGGCCACCATCCCTCCACATTGTTTCCAGCGCCGGGTCCACCAACTCACCAACACACTCTAAACCGCCGCACTGTTTCAGCGAATATAGCAGTTATTGTGTACTTCTTTTCTGTACACGTTTCCCTTGCAGGATTATCGCACACGTCTTCCATACCTTTAATCATCACCACGCGCTACTACCGCGCTCCTGCGACCATCGCAGTCCACGGACCTCCATCGAACCACGGGTACCATCAGCACCGCCCGTCGATCCATATAAACAAGGCTCTATACTTCCGCCGCCATTGGTAACCGGCAGTCTTCGAGCAACATACCAGCTTGACACTTTACGCATACGGCGCACCCGCCCATCACACGACACATACCACATCCATCTACACACATCGCCATCATGCCGTCGCAACGTCGCATGAGGTTCTATGGCATCCTCATTGTCGTCACAGTCGTCGTGCTGTTCTACATGTCAAGAGGAGCCCACCAGACACAAACATCCGACTTTTACACCAAAACCCAACAAGCCTTACAAGAAAAAGAATACGCAGAAGCGGCGAAGCAGCGCGATGCAGAGAGCGTCGGATCGCGACTCAAAGCCGCCGAAGAACAGGCGAAGAAGAACGCCGAGGACAAGTACACAGACCACAAAGTCAAGGTGGAAGGGCAGGACCAGAAGAGTGTCGCGGGCCGCGTCAAGATGGACGGTGACAGGGTCCCTGGCGTCGCGCAACAGGGCGGCAAGCCGCGCGACCAAGCAGCCATGATGGAGCATGAGACG